CACCTCAACATGAAAAATAACAGGCACTTGCGGCCTAACTCTTGTGCTATTGCTGCTGAACTGCACGAAATGAATCAACATTGTGAGGCAGTGTCGTGTAAACTCTAGTTGGTGCATTGCAGGAAGATCTTGCCTTGGGGTTTCCAATGTGCAATATACAGACTACATGTACATGTATATGAAAAACTCAGACCCAAAATAAGGTCTGGAAGGTTACATAGAAAAAGGCATGTAAACATGTACTCGTCTTCAGTCCTAATCACAAATTCCAGATGTCATGAGCAAAAGGGCTTGAGCTACTTGAGCTAATTCACTACTTAAAATGCCTTTAATTGTAACCCTGCCTGTGTATTTTCTTTTTAGAATACAGAATACTCTGGCCAGTATTCATACTTACGATGAAACAAAACTATTGATTGTGCCTTGCACATTTATATAGGAGCTCGTCTTGAAACAAGGGCCTCATCAACCAAGTCTACCAGTGGGACTTTACTTTGCCCGTCCTGTGGATCAAACCGTGATGCCCAGCAAACAAGGACATTCTTTGGGTTGTTTAAAAATAGACGCTCAGCTCAGCCTGCACCAGTTGTGGAAGACGAGCTTCCGTATAAAGTTGTCCGGCTGGGGAATGTAAGTGCAAGACGCAGCGTGCCCAAGGACATCATGAAACCAGAATATGCACTCACTGGTGTGGCCTCGGCAATTTACCACTTGCCAATTCTGCTACAGGACGATGAGATGGAGAAAATGAGAGAGGCAGGGAAGATGGCGAGAAAGATACTGGACATTGGCGCATCACATGTGAAGGTACAGAACGTGGAAGATGATGGACGTGTCCTGTAGCTGATTTTAGTCTGAAAATTCAGTTTGACAGATGTAAACCCAAAGGCTTTCATGCTAGGAAGTTCCTCGTAAATTCATTCAGGTTCCTAGTCGGAACCTGAATGAATGTACTGAAAAGATCCTCCTCTGCACATGAATTAAATTGTCCATGTACAGTTTCTTAAAATTTCAAGGGACATACATTGCTCAGCTCCATTCAAAGGGAGTTGCCAGTGATGTACATACACTGTGCATTACCTGCCTGAAGTCATCCCAAACCTCCCAAAGGATTTTGTGTGATGCGTGAATGTTCTTGGTAAGAATGCTTAGAGGATATCTTGAGTTAAACCATGAATGGGAAGTCATGTACATGTAACCCCCTGTGAAAGTTTCCGATGCAATCTCAAACAAAATTTCTGAATAAAGTAGCCTCAGTTTCAGAGTTGATTTGTGGGATCCAGTCATTCATATATTTTGACAGTGTGTTTTTATCAAAGCAACCTGCTACATGTATGTACCTTAACCAAATATCGTGGTTTCTCATTGTATTTTGAGTTGCGCTTACTGGGGGCTCCATCTTGAAGACCTTGCCACTTTCCGACCTCTTTTTGGGTCAAAGTTTTTCATCTCCCCCCATCTCAAGGTTCTCGGAATCCAGTCTCCCTATACTTCAAGATTGTTCCTATCTGAGTAGTGTGAGTCAGTACTGTTGTATTGCTCTCCCTTTTCACACTAAATGCCTCAGCCCGGTGTAACGACTGATCGCATTGATGAAGCGATTCATGCTGCCTGTTTGGAAAACAACGTCTATCCGTCCACTCTCAACTACAAGGGCTACCCCAAGTCAGTCTGTACCTCAGTCAATAATGTGATGGTCCATGGAATCCCTGATGACAGAGCTCTTGAAGAAGGAGATATGATAAACATTGATTTCACAGTAAGACATTCTGTTAGAAAAAAGTGGATAAGGCTTAATATTTGGTACTTTTGAAAATGATTTCACACTCCGTGTTTATGTTTCCTGGTTTTCCTTATAAAAATACTTAAAGTTGTAAAAACTACGATTTGGGGTCATATTCTGCCTTTTTTAACAGTTCATAAGCATTTTTAATTTTGATGCTTTCATGGATAATCAACTTTTGTCCAAATCGGCTGGATTTGTAACAAGTAAGCAAGCACTCTTCCAAAGTATCAGAATTCTGATCTACAGTGTTTCAACTAAACATTCCAAAATCATTAAATAGAGCAAAGCAGAAACAAAGTCTGTCTTTTTTTAAATAGGGTCATCCTTGCATGCATTTGTTGCCAAATTACATATTCAGTATTACCTGGTGAAATTATTACAAACCTGGCCTGAAAGTTTACAGAGAGACGATATACATATGTGTAACAAAATATCCTTTCCCTGTTCTTCAGGTTTTTATGAATGGTTACCACGGTGATGTGTCAGAGACCTATGCTGTCGGCACAGTGGATGAAGCCGGGTTACGTCTCATTCAGACAGCGCGACGGTGCCGAGATGAGGCAATCAAAGTATGTGAACCAGTGGCGCTCATTGCCAGAATTGGAGGCACAGTTCAGTGAGTAGTTGAAATTGGAGACACGGTTCAGTGAGTAGTTGAAATTGGAGACACGGTTCAGTGAGTAGTTGAAATTGGAGACACGGTTCAGTGAGTAGTTGAAATTGATGAACATCAGAAATCCAACTTTGTGGACAACACCTTTTGTTGTTTACATTTTACTTTAATCAAACTTTGGACTTTGAGCAATGTATCTCAGAAATGAAGTCAGAAAAACATTAAGTTATGATAATAACAACACCTATTGCATTTTATACATGCATCTTACCTTAAAACGAGGGATCAAAACAGCCTGATATTTTTCACCCTTTCACCTTTCTCTTGACAGGAAAGTGGCCCAACAAGCTGGGTTCTATGTCTGTCCTTCCTTCGTTGGCCATGGCATCGGAAAACAGTTTCACTGTAAACCTGATATTTGGCATTATGGTAAGTGTTTACTCAAGAGTGCCACCACTCCTCTCTACTAGTTCTTTTTTGATGGATAACTGTAATTGTTTCGCAGACTTCAAAGATTTCCCTCTTTTCTTCCGAAGAAGCGTCGTTGTACCACCAGTCGTATTTGTAAAGTTTTGAACGACATTTCAATTCTGGGCTTGTCTATTTTCATATAAGTAATAATCACAATTTTGATGCTGTTCTTACAGTAACAGCTACAGGCAACTAGGCAGCAAAATCCATGTAAAATACAATCTGGTAATGAATTTGCAATCTGTCCAAGGGCTTCACCTCAGTAAGCGTGACACCATGTTCAATATCGACTCAGCGCCTGCACGCACATTGACGTGCAATAACTTGCCTTTCCCATGCATGATTCACAAGTGTGCACAAAGTATGCTCAGAATTCCTCCGGTATGCCAACTTGATTCGACAAGTGTGAATTTGGTTCAGCTTCTTAATAGCGCCCTCTACAGCTGTACATGTATGGTTTACTTTTGTACTGGCTGGGCATCTCTGTGTTTTGAAATGGGTATGAAATCTTATTCAGCTTTGGCTCAAGACTCAAAAGCCAAAAAGGAAATTGCATAATGTGATATTAGACATGGTCGAGCCGATTACATATAAGGGCGCCTCAGGCGGCTGCCAAATGACCCACATCCACTCACATCTGTGGAGAGGAGACAAGAAGAAGAAGTTACAGTTTAAAAGAGGACTATTCTGGGTAAACCCCACGGGATTAGGTGAGACTGAAGACCCAATCCAGGTGTGGACTAAGCCGAGAACTGAACGCAGACTGTGGAGGTGAAAGGCGAGGAGAGAACCGATGTGCCAACTTTACCTCCCTGGCTCATATAATCTTATTTGAGTAACGTAGTGGCCTCTTCATCCTCTTCTCATGGCAATTTCTTCTCTTTCCCAGCTAACGCCTATCCAGAGAAAATGATGCCAGGTATGGCCTTCACCATTGAGCCTGTTGTCATGGAAACACCAGACTCTTTCATCATGGCCGATGATGGCTGGACCGTTTTGGCCAAAAGACACACGAGGTGGGTTTTTGATGTTCAAGTGTCCGTCTTCATAATTTTTTATTTTTGTTTCTAATCATCAGCAAGATTCTTTGGTTGGATCTATGCACAGTTCTGGTGTTAATGGATTTCATTGGTTCCGTTCCTGATATTGATTATTTAGCATCACTGTTCTCATGCAGGGACAAATTTGGCCCCAAATCATCACTTTGAATTTCAACAGTTTGATGAAGTCATCGCTCAGGCAAATCTGTTGAAATCAGCTGAATCACAACAATCTCTGTTGGATCAATTTAACTAATCCACAGTTTTCATTTTAACAAAGGGACAAATTTGTGGTCCATAGAGATTATGCCAAGCAATGAAGCATAGAATTCAACCATCCTGAATGTTCCTTTTCAAGACGAGACAAAATTCAGCTTACAGATCATATGCAAAGGTAACAATTTATCACCTAATGTGCTTAGGGGCTTAAGCATGCACATTGCCGAAAGTGTTTTCATTTTGAGTTCTCATGAACAAAACAAGTTTTTGGTTCATAAATCTTAATTACCTTCAAATTGAGTGTTGGACAGTATACAAATATAACATGGATTGAGGTTGGACAGTCGATGTAAGCTCCCCAAGGTATTGGGAGTTGACAAACTAGTTCCCAAGGCGAACTGTCCAACCCAAATAAACCATGTCATATTTGTTTAACTATACCTCATACATATTTTATTTAACCCTAACACTCCTCAGTCCTCCGACAGGTGAAGGATTGAGGAGGGTTAGGGTTAATCACATCTGAAAATATAAATCATCATAATTAATTTGTTTCCAGGAACATTTGTTTGTTCCCCAAGGTTGAAATGCAAACACGTCATCTTTTTTAGTGTACATTTATTTTACATACAAAAATGCATACAGATCATTGCTTGGCTGGCGCCACCACGAGTGCACACTACACCTGGGCGACAGTTCCTAGATTTTCTGCTACTACACATGGGTTTTTAAATGTCGCCCAGGTAAAGGTCCCAATTTTCAAGCCCTTCAAAAACAGTTTGAGCCTCTCCCCTATACTTGTTTCAGGACCCACCCTAGGCTTTTACCCAGACTGAAACACAATCAGAACCTGATGGTTTGATATCATCACATCAGCAACAGTACCATCACTTCCCTCCCTAAGCCATGCCCTGTTCAAACAAGATCAAAACATCACCACATCCCATATACAGCCATATCACACAAGCTCGTCAGTCAGTTTCCTCAAGAAAACAGAAATGATGTGATCTGCTGCCTCAAACACACCTGTTCCACCTGTGTCTCGTGTTGCGTCAAATCCAGGCCGCAGAATGGATTTGGCTCTGGCTCTTTGCATGGAAGAATCACATTACATGCAGTGTTTTGACAAAGGCAGTTTCACATGTGAGCATGTCCCCAGTTTGACACTTGTGTCTATTTATTTTCCAAGCTTGACTTTTTTTCAAGTGCGTGTTGCGGTTTGAGCGTTTGCTGGGGTTGGAAAAACAGTGGGCGCTGTGGTATGCTTGTCCAAAGCAAACATTGAGGCTTGACATGTTAAAAGGTTTGGATTTGATTCAGACTTTGACAATAGGATAGATAGTAGCTGTGTAAAGGAAGCTTTGTTTTTTAGCCAGACCGTAGAATTCATCCGATCACTCTCAGCCTCTGGCTGGACTACAAATCATGTCTTTAAGAATAAAGTTTTAGTGTAAGGTGTAATTTTTTTTGGAGAAGAAACATGAAATGTCCCTTACAAATGTTTGCTTCTAAACACAAAATCTACTACGTGCTGTTAAAATTCTGGAAGTGGTTTTTGTCTTCTAGCTTTGTTTTTCAGGGATTTTGGAGGGAAAAGTCTTTGTCTCTACAGTTAAATATGTTCTTGTAAAAAAATTCAATACAGGTTGTAGAATCAGTCATGCTTGCTTGCTTTGGGATCTAGATACATGTACATGTGTGCTAAACTCAAAGGATAAAGAAACAGCAAAAGAGGAAAAGAAATCAATGATCATAGGATGCAAACTGGCCTGGAAAATGCTATGGTAACGGATGATAATGGTGCGCAAATGTCATCCCCTCCAACAAAACATGCCAGTGTGCATCCACGCTTTGAGAATGGAGAACATTGGTCTGGCACTCCAAAACAGACAGCTTGTCTGGACCAGCCCTCGTTGCAGCTAAGTGCTTTTTCTTATCCTTGTTTTCCCCCTTGGTCTTCATGTTTGTGTCGATCACATTACTCATTGGCGGGGTTGCAGCTGGGAATATCACCCATTAGTAATGAATGGGGGGGGGGTGTCTTGAATGCCAAGGTAGTTGTTACCCCCAACATGTCTAGAAAGTGATTTCCAGTGGATGCCTTCATGGCCCGGGGAATACTCTTTGAATGGGCAGTGAAATAAATTCTGTACATGTACATGCACAGTACTTTAATGTACATGTACGATACACGTTGAAGGCAGTTTTTCAAACTGCATATATTGCACTTGTTTGTTAAGTAAGTGTGCTTGCAAATTGTACACTTGTGCACAGTGTTACAAATGCACATGTAGAATGTTCTCATAGTGATTGGTTATGGACACTGCTTTCTCAGTTGATGTTCTGTTTCAGAATTATTGTAACATCTGAATTTCTGTGAACCACTTCCCAAAGAAAACCCATTTCTGATGTGGTATTACAAATGCACTCTGAATGGTTGAGAGGCCATATTCCCAGGAGCGAAGTTCCATGCAGCGATCTCCGTCTATTTTCGGTGAGATAATCCTGAACAGAAATGAACTCCCTATTCATGAACAGGCGATGATATGAGTTACTTGTTCCACGCTAGCTTCGAGAACTCATTAAGCAAATGGATGAGATTAATCTCGAATGTCATAAGTCACCTGCCTGCCTTATAATCATGATCATGAGTCACTGTGCATACGATATCTCAACAGGACATTGCCAACAATTTGACTGTGATTAAAAATGGCTCTGGACAAACAAAGATAAAGAGTGGTGAGCTCTGTCTCGTCTGAATTCAAAAGAAAGATTATGTGACCTTTCTTCCAGCTGGAAAATGAGGTACCTCATAATTCCCCTTAAACTTGGCCTTTCCACAATAGATGTGGCTTACATGCAGTTTGGAGATCCAATTAGAGTCCATAAGTAAAGCTCTGATCCATTCACAATTTTTGTTTAAGCGTTCTGCTGTTGATGAATCTTCTGGCTTTCTATATATCTTTCTGTCTGTTTGTATATGATAGTAATAAACATATTTTTATTGCCAAATTTAACAATGTACTTTAAAAGTCTCTAAATGGATTAAAGCAAATATGCTGACAATTAATCTAACTTTGAATGCAGTAAATTTCTGGGATTGTAAATTGACATAGATCGTTCCTATCAAAGCATATTAGGCCTAATTATATTTGCTCATTCATATCAAATATTGGCACAATATGAAAACTGTAAAGATTCTTCCCACAGAACATTTTATTGAATTTGCATAACACCTTAGTCTTACTTGCACATGGAAGTTGTAGCATTAGCTGGATGAATGGAATACTTCAACTGAAACAAAGGCTTGGCATATAATTGACCTTACCTCTTTTCCAGACAATGTAGCAAATTTCTAAACAGTTAAGCACGAGGGTCCTAAATTCTTGAACTCATTGGACACTTTTTAAGAAGTACATCCAGTCTGGCCCTGTTGATTAAATGCAAATATACATGTACAGGTGACGCTAGTCTCAATGACTGTTTGAAAACATTAAGACTCATGGGGTTATAGATTACAGGTTTGGTTTATGTATTCCTTATTTCTGTTAATATTCATTTGTCTGCACTACTGTTTTGTTTGAGTGTCATTGTGTGTTGAAATTTGCAATATTATACCGGTATGTTGTGGGCCCCGGCCCACTTGACAAGCTCTGCTTTTAGGGACCCGTTCACAGTTATCCCAATTAATGATGTATAAGTGATGTTCGTGCTGCTTTATATAAGGTCATGTGCAAAAAAGTAATTGATTGATTGATTAATTCACACCAAAGTCCTTTGCATGGCCAAAGAACTAACTTAACTTTTGAATGCTACCATCGTCCAAAAATTACAGGTGCTTTTGAGGTTTAATGCGAAAGTGTTTGAATATGTATTATCAATGTGCACCTTGTCAACGATTGATGTAACCTGTTGACACGAAGAAAGTCAATGCACATTAACATGTCACAATTCCCGAGAAGGGAGAAGTGTCATTCATCCACAGATTAACGCACAATTAAGTTATACAAAACCTGTTTTTTTTCCCCTAGGTCCGCACAGTTTGAACACACAATCTTGATCACAGACAATGGAGTGGAGGTTCCAACGGCATCTTCCGATGAGAATTTTGAAAGGGAGATCCGATCTGAGGAGGAAGGAAATGACAGCTCTTCCTTATCCGATCTGCATCAGATTGAATCACCATCCACAGAGGGGGACCAGACTGCTACTGGAAGAGCCAAGAACTTAAGAAAGGCTGATTGGAAGTTTGACTGAGGGGCACGGGAGTCCACTTCAAGGGGCTCATTTTAAATACCGGTAGGAGGCTTGAATATTCATGTGTTAAAAGCAATGAAAGTATTTGTCATCTAACTTTTCAGGGATTTTCACAGTTGAACCTACTTAATGACTATGGATTACAGGCTTCTTTAGGATTATCTTCCATGTATAATCCGATGATCGTGATCAACATGATATGCTCAGATCTTCAGTCTTTAGGTGTGCAAAGATAAATATAAATTCATGTTTTTATGGACACGGACGATCTTGTTAGCTGTCAAGAGCTGCATGAACAATTTTTTTTGTGGCATTGTGATTTTGCAAATTATGTCAGTGAAGGTTAGGTTGGTATAATGCAACGCTGCACAAAATCTACCGTATCGGTAAGATTTTATGCCTCTACTGTCTAGCATACTCCTATAAAAAGGAAAAGCCTGACGGATTTATATCATGAAAATGTCATTGTACAGTTGTGAACGACACCTGCTATGTCTGGTTAATGCTAAATAAAAAAAACAGATCCACCGAAGGTAATTCTTATCTTAAAACATTGTAAACACTGAATTTCGACTGAAAATCAGGATTATATGTTGATTTCATTCTACATATATAGTCATTTAATACTTGAGATTTTGAAAGTGCATGTTTAGGACATTTTTCCCTATGAACAAGATAGACATAGCTTAAACCGACACTGAGGCCTTATCTTTATTGAATAGGGAAACCGTGCTTCACAGATCTCCCCATAATCCTTTTATACCCACAATAAACCTAAGTATTTGTAACTACTGGCGCCACTTGGGCGTAAAAGCTTTTCGACTTACCCATGTCTTGTACTTGTGGCAACTTCTTGAAAACTGCGTCTATAAATTCAAATAAACCCCCAGAATTCTGTAATCCTAGTGCTGCTGAATTTTTTCTCGAATCCGACGATTGGTCCTCGATTTCTCTGGACTTTACATTTAGCTCATCAATATGGCTCTTGCTAAGCGTTGGAAATATTTACTTAGCACGATTGTCACGTGGTGTATATATTGCCTATGAGAGGTTCCGGGCTGTTTTCACTGTGCATGTAAAATTGCTTAGCGTTTCTTTGAAATTTGGTCCTCTCTGCATTGAAATATGCAGTAAATGGCATCATTCGAAGGGCAAAACAAATTCTTAAATTGATTACATTAATCATGCATTTTGAAAGTCAACATAATTATGAACCATGCCATTTACGAGCGATCAAAATGTGATACTGTAAATTCAACATGCTAAGTGGTGTCTACAGTTTAATGAGATTTGTACCCAGTAGCTGAACAAAGAAATGCTAATCGAGATCGTCTGCCGAGTTCAGGTGGAACATTATGCACGAACTCTACACAAAAGATGTGGTCTGCTCTAACCTCTGCGAGCAAGCACACGGTGCTATAAATAGCCAACGTGAGTGCTGTCTTTCTGAGTATGAAAGATGGCATTGTCGAGTGGCACGAGTGCATGATATTTAATATCATATTTACGGGATTAAGTATTGAGCATAGTGAAAAAATTCCAATGTTAATTGCGCGCAGTTTCCACTTTGTGTGCTATGTCCAATATTTGTATTTATGTTCTTTTCCGCTTTCTGGCAAGAGCGTTGTGCGTGCTACTGTTGATTACATAGCTCCCAACCGTAGTTGCCCTAGCAAAATTAGTTAGACTGGTTCTTGGTTTTTCAGAAAGAGGCTTGTGGTAATTTTTTTGGTTGTAACTTTTGGCCGTGGTTTACCAGTAATAACGAACGGTTACTAGTCATTGCAACACTATGTGAAAATACTACATGTAGGCTGAAAAAGATAAACCGGTTAAAAAATGCAAGGAAATGTAAAAAAAAGAAGAAAAAAAGAGAAAAATCCGCCCAAAGCACCGCTATTTTGGTATTCAAGGAATATGTAAAGAAATATCGAATGAAGTGAATTTCCTTTTAATGCGCCTGCTACAAGATTTCCCCTCACCGAGGAAATAATGAAACTTTTTTTGAGCACGTTCCCGCGTAAACATTGTCATCAATCACTCTCTACCTGAAGACGATTTGCAGTAAATACACGAATAGGCAATTTGAGAGGCTGCAGCATTCTGGTGAGTTACATTAAATTGATTTTGTCGTGGAAAAGAGTTCAATTGCAAATTAAATGAGGCGTTTTGTTTTGCTTCATACCTCTGCGATAAAACTCGGCGGGAAAACGTGACACCCGTTTCAATATTTCCACATCAGTCTAGGCCCTTCTAGGGTATTTTGTAGAATGCTAAGAACTCGATGCGAAAAGCTTTGGACTGTAGACGAACAGTCTAAATGATCGTACTGTGCAAGATGTAGAGTACGATGAAAGTTCGCAGGGACGTAGAGGTGTGCTTGACGTCCAAGTTAGAGAGTCAGAGTTTTCATTATGACGTCGACCCGTTCGCTTTGGGAGTAATTTATTGAAAGGGTTCTGGGCATCATTCGACGGCTGAGGGCGCTGTTTAAGAAACTTTCCTATTGCCGCGTTTTCTACCCATCTTTGAGTTTATATGGTAATTCTAGAATTGAATTAGAACCATTACTAGGCCTATTTGTTTAGCAGGTAATTTGCATTAATTCACCGCTCTTGAAAAATAGAAAACGCACTCTCAACTTACAAAATCATATGTCAGATGTGACATCGACCAAAAAATTTGACCCCTAATTTTGTGAATTACCCATACAAAGTGTGAATATTGCCGGTTATGTGTAAGACCTGGAAATAAAAATCCTTTTTTGTGCCACGCCCACAAATTACACATTCCCCTCTGCTCAACATGTGAGATAGAACAAATCACTCATTTTGCTCTGTTGATGTTCAGCGCCGTAAGACACGATGTGTCCTATGGGATTGCTGATGACGTCACAGCCGAAAAAGGATTTTTGTGGGCGGAAGTCAAGAGAAGATTTCACCTCTTACCTTTTCTTCCTGATAAATTCCTGCGTCACGAAAATACGTCGAACCTTGATTTTTTTGTACATTTATTGTTGTTTCAGCACTATTTTATGCCACGTCCCTCGGTTTCTAATTCTAAGAGCCTCCAACAAAATGGGGCAAATGTGAAAATTTTTACACAAGATGAATCTCTTTTCCTATCACGTCCTAGAAGATGATATATGGGAATGATTTTGGGCTGGTAGGCCGTCATTGGAGTTCTTTTTGCTGCACGGTATAGGGTTCCATTGATGAAACGCCTCCAGCAACACGCCACCATCAGATAAGGGGCGTTGATGTCTGTTGACGTCTACGGCTGTGATGCTATCACTTCGCTTGTTACATGAAGGAGCAGACTTTGAATAGGCCAATTGCGCTCGCTAAGTCACGTGATAATAGTGGGTATAATCAAACATCAACAAACATGGCGTCCTCCCATAACACAGTGTTTCGTCAGTGTAGCTTACTTAAATAAGGCCGATTTTCGTCATAGTACTCAGTACATCAGTAGTCCAAGTTACTCTACCGTAGCACGCCGGTGTGAACTGTTAATTGAGAACTGTTTTATTATTACTGAGGGGGTAAACGTATGCCATCTGATGTTACTGAAATTGTGAGGCATGGATCCATAGTCTTGTGCAGGATTTGTCACGAATATTTTTTGTTTCAGAATTCTAAACGGTATCCAGAAAGTGTTGTTGTTGTCAAATAGATACATCATAGCAAATACTTTTTTATTGAATTGCATTAATAATAAATAATAATAATTTAGAATTTATAGTGCGCCCTTTCCACCGAAGTGATCAAAGGCACATTACACTAAAAACCTATTGAAAATCAAGTACACAAAAAACAATTTAAAAATCCAAGCACACAAAAACTATTTAAAACCAAACCAAATTATACTGTAGTAGTAGAGAGAAAAACAGGCCACCATGCCAGTGCCCAAACCGGAGTATGGGGATTCATCTGTCCTGTCAACGGGGTAACTAACTAAATAAGCCTAAACCCTGTCGACATCGGTGATGTTTCGACCTTTCCAGAGGACGGACGCCTCAAACCCTATAATTTCCGCTCTAACTACCTGACACGGTGACCCTCGTAATGAAACAAGGAGACCAGAATACAATTATACATTTAAAATACTCGTCTAAAAGAGGAAGGTTTTTGATTTGCATTTAAAAATGCTAAGTCTTTGTTCCTGTCTAATGGAAAGTGGCAAGGCATTCCACAACTTGGGAGCTGCCACAGAAAAAGACCTATCACCTAGAGTGGATAGCATCTTCCTACTAGGATAATCCAAAAGAGGACCTTTGTTTCCAGACCTGAGTTGATACCTGCAAGGTCTCTTAACAATAATAAGATCTTGCAGGTACCTGGGATAATTTTGAAATGAATTCTTGAGTGAATGGGCAACCAGTGGAGTTGACGTGATACAGGAGTTACATGTTCAAACCTCCGTGTGTTTGTAACAAGTCTGGCCGCTGCATTATGAACCCTTTGGAGTTTTGCTATTTGTTCTCCTGGCAACCCATACAATAAACTGTTACAATAGTCCAGACGGCTCGTCACAAATGCATGGACTAGTGTACAAAGGGAATCACTTGACAGGAATTTACTGATACGTTTGATATTATGAAGAGGAAAAAATGCAGCTGAGCAAACCTTGTCAATATGAGTATTCGTTGTAAGTTCAGAGTCAAACCATGATCCCAAATTTCTGACATGTGGATGGATAGACAGCAGATTCTCCCACAGCGATGTTAGCAATCTTTACTTTTTGCAGCTGTTGCCTAGTACCAATGATCAAGAGCTCACTCTAAGTATCATTAACCATTAACCTATCATGCAACATCCACTGTCTTATGTCCCGGATGCAACTTTCCATCGCAGCTACAGCAATCTGACAGGAAACATCATCGTCTGGTTTAAAAGACAGATAAAGCTGTGTGTCATCAGCATAACAATGAATGTTAGGCAGATGGTGCTCAATGATGTCAAATAATCTAGAAGCATTAATAGTAAATAAAAGTGGTCCTAAACATGATCCCTGAGGAACCCCGCAGTTAAGTTTGAACGTTTTTGACAGGGTTCCTTGAATAGACACGCAAAATGTCACGATCAACCGTATCGAAGGCTGCATTGAGGTCTAAAAGAACAAGTCATATGCTGAGAGTTCATCTTCATCAATATATCATCTTTTACTTTCAAAAGGGCATTATAACCATATGTAGCCAGACTGTGTGTACCGCGGTGAGGCTGTGTCCGAATTTCTTAGTTACGACAAAAAGTTCCTAATATACAACTTCCCGTCACTTAGCGCAATTCTACGAGGTCTTCGTGAGTCCTCGTTTCTGGAGACAGCAAATCATTACCGTGCTAGGGAATGACATCGGGTTCCAACAGTCCCAGGGCCGCTTGACCATTAATATTCGTGTGATCGGCCTAATGACGTAAAGATTTCACCAGGGAATCTGTTCTGACGGAGCTGATACGCTTATGCTGTCTTCACTCATCGCTTCTGCTGTCTTCTCTCATTGACAACAACTCATTGTTATATTTTCAAGATGTATTTTTTTTGTTTTGTTTTTTTGTTTTTTTCGCAAGCTCTCGGACAAGCACTGAGCATACAGTTCTTGTTAATATACGTTGGGTAAGGGCAAGACCTGTTATATAAAATTATCATTGTTATATTGAATATTAAAATTGAAATTTAAATATTGCTCACTCAAAGGTTTGCAGTATATCGAATTTGGATTACCAACATGAAAGTTTGAGTTATAAGGATTATCAATTTGATATGTCGCCTGCATGTATGTACGCCATTGCATCTATCGTTGTCGAATCCTCAGAAAGAATAGTCTCAGGTTAATGGTTTTAAATTTATTTCTGCGAAGATCGCTTCCCCTCACCGACCATAGCCTCATTTACAGTATAAGAGT